ATATATAATATTCATATACATATATACATACACATATACTCATATATATATGACCATGGAGTTTGTCCAAGGAATGTTAAGGTTGATTTACCATTACAAAACCTACCATCATGTCAGCAGATTATAAGAAACAACCGGCAACATCCAAATAGAATACTGAAGAGTCACCTCTGGGACTGGAGAGATGGCTGAGTCAGTAGCTGCTCATTTTATAAGCATAAGGATTTGAGCCTGCGATCCCCAGCCTTCACATACAAATCCAGGCATGGCTGCTTGTACCTGTAATCCCACCCCTGAGAAGGGGAGACAGGCAGATCCCTGGGCTTGGCAGTCAGTCTAGCCCAACTGACAAAGCTCCATATTCTCCATATTTATCTAGAGACAGTGTCTCAAAAAATAATGTGGAGGACAGGTGTAGCAGCACATGCCTTTAATTCCAGTACTTGGAGGCAGAAGTAGGTAGACCTTCACGAGTTCAAGGCCAGACTGATCTACACAGCGAGTTCATGCCTGGTCAGGCTACATAGTGAGACACTACCTTAAAAAAATAGGTGAATTGAGGAAGATACGTGCATGTGTGTGAGCATGCACACATATACACGTGTTAAAAGGAAACATCATCTCATGGGGACAACCTTCTTTTCGCATAAAAACTCTAAGCCATCTAGGATGGGAGGAAAACTTGCTAAGTATAATACTATAGCATCTACTATGATCAGAAACAAAGCTAAATGTCTATCTGTCATTGGTATTTCTATTTAATATTATAGGTACGATCTTAGTGTAACCAGGCAAGAAAAAAAAAAAAAAAAAAAAAGAAAAGTCATCTACATTGAAATGAAGAAGTACAATTGTCTATTCACAAGGTAATTGTCTGGGTATAAATTCTAATGGACTCGGTAAAAAGATAGTAGAACTGAAAACTGAATTGAGTAAAATTGTTGGATATGAGATCAATATATGAAAGCAATTTCACTTTCATACACTAAAATGTTAAGAAATTTAAATAAAAGTAAAAGCCATAACAATAATGTAATGTGTTGAAATAATAAAATATGACTTACATAGTGGGATCAAAACTGTGATATACTTAGACACAAATCTGACAAAAGATGCTTATATTGAAAACTACAAAATGTACCTGAGTCAGATAAAGATCTAAAGAAATGCAGATGTAGGGCTGGAGAGAAAGCCCAGTCAGTGAGAGGACATACAGGGACATGAGTTCAGATCCCCAGCACTCACATAAAAGGCTGGTCATGGTGTACTCCTTTAATTCCAATGCAAGAGACAGGCCTTGGTCACGTACTAGGAGACATTACTAAAATGTTAGTTCTTTTCAAATTGAGCTAAATGTAAATTTATTATAATCACAACCAAAATACCAGCTTATTTTGTGCAACAAGTCTAGCATCCCTAAGGAAATGACCTTGGACAGCCAAAAATTTTTTTAAAAATTTAACTTCTTTATTGATTTTTCTGGGAGTTTCACATCATGTACCCTAATTCTGCTTTCCTCCCGGCCCCCTCATATCTTTCACTCACCCCTGCAGCACCCCCCCCAAAAGAAAATTAAACAAAACAAAGCAAGCAAACAAACAAGAACAAACCAAAACCAAAAAAAAAAAAAAAAAAAAAAATCCTGTTCTCCTTTCCCGCCTCTCCAACACCTCTGCCTTCGTCCTGGTGGCACTGGGAGCTGCGGTGTGTCACACAGTGGACCCTTTTGTCCTCCCAGCTTTACTAGCAAATGTTCATTGCAGTGAGTCACTGTCTGGTTCAAGGCCTCTGGTTTCTGGTACAGCATCACAGCTGGATCCTCACCGGAAGTCCTCTGGGATATCCTGTGGCCACCCCAGTCATGGAGATCCTGAGGGTACTATTCCCCAGGACCAGTCCCTTCACGAGCTCCAGCGGGTCCTAGATGGGTAGATGTTAGGGTGGGCCAACCCAAGACCTGGCTGTGGGCCTGGGTGGTAGCCGAGCTGGTCAGTGCCGGCCACTGGGGCCACCCACCTTGGGTGAGGAGTGGAGTCAGCTCCCCTATGCCCAGGCCTCTGGGTTGGTTCACAGACAAATAGATTTTCAAAAGGAAAATGCAGCTGAGAGCTCCTGCCATGTTTTATCATCACTCATACAAAGCTTCAGTAATTAAAACAGTGAGATACTGGCGTAAAAACAGATGGATGGACAAAACATTTGAACAGAAATGTCACAGAAAAAAGACACATGATAGCAAATAAGTACATGAAAAAATGCTGAATATTAGGAAGGTGTCAATTACAACACTTTGCCATTGTTCTATGAAAATGGCTAAAATGAGAATTGGGCACATACAGTAAGTATAATATGTGGAGAACGGAAAGTATCAGACACTGTTGGTGGTGGGAACGTAAAAGATCAAGCTGTTTCAGAGAAAGTATGACAATGTAATCTAGCCATTGGACACATCGAGTATCCTCCCAACAAAAACATGTTCATCCAAGACTTACATCGATGTTCATAGCGATTTTGTTTGTAATAGAGAGTGGCTGGAAAGAAAACATGGACGGCTGCATTGGATAAACTGTGGTACACACATATATAAAGAATTGCTCATTGCTAATAAAAAGGAATGAATTACTAAAAGATGAAAAACATGGAAGTCTATCATAATGATACTGAGTGATAGAAGGGACCAGGCACACACAAAACAAGTATGCAGTAAGTAGATCTAGGTCTATAAAACCCTAGGAAAGGCAAAGTAATCTATAACCAGAAAGGCTGCATGGGGGCAGAGCTGATAGACAAGAGGAGATGTTTTATGAGTAGCTGTAAAGAAATTGAGGATGGAGTGAGGGGTGTGTCCACTGTCATGCTAGTTAAGATGGATGCCTGGGTCTAAACATATGCCCAATGTATCAAGTTATGTACTTTCAATGGTGCAATTTACACTACAGTGAGGCCGATTTTTGAAAGTGTCTCAAGGAAGTAGGGTTATTGACAGTGGAGACAAATGGGTCTTTGGCACTAATTTCCGTGACTGACACCTGGTTAGCTGGCATCCCAGCTTGCCAGTATCGCAAGAGACTCTGGTTGCCCATCCCACTGTGGTTCCTATAATGGCAGGGTGCAATCGCTTATGTTGGCTGCCATTCAGAGGATTAATAAGGGACTATGACGGAACAGCCTGTGAGTAACTCATAAAGGTGAATTGGACAGGAATAAGTTCTTGCCAGGGCAGTAGATCTCTGTTCCTTGCTCCCGGCTTCAGCTGGAAATGTTGGGGACTTGCTTAGGAAAGCTAGAAAATACCGTATCAAACCTGACCAGGCTATAATTACATGCATATATCCCTTTGTAGGAAATTCTTGATCAGGTGGTCAATTGTAGACTGGGATAGAGTTCCATCTGCCATGCCCGAGTGCCCAGGATTCTCAGAGGCAGCCATTTTGAAAAATAAACGATGAGCAACTACAGTGCTTCTCAATTCTCTTTAGATTGTCCGATCTCTCTCCTCTGCACTTTAGAGGGTTTCTGATGCCATTACAAGAATTTGTAGCCAAGACCACTACATAAACTGCTAGTCACACTTGCTGGGGGAACTTTGCAAATAAAAGCCATAAAAGCAATGTTAGCTTATTAAACAAACAGAAAGAACTTAATGGCACAGAACTTGGGTGCATAAAAACTCGGGATGGGTTTGGAAATAGAGCACATTACATAAAACCAATTACAACCAATATATCTAGGTCTCATTTCTAAGCATACATTTCATTTTTTTTTTTTTTTAGTTAGGACAAAAGTGGGGATTGTTGTAATGCTTACACACTCCCCCAGACCATCTGATTGCATTTTTTCTTAGTATTTGTGAACCCTGAAGGCACCGTGCACGTTCCCATTCTGCACAGGGCTCTGCTCTTGCACGGAGGCCGGCTTTTCTGTGAGCACAAGTGCCGCTGCCTGCCGTGGTGGGCTGCCTGCTGTCGTGTTTACCTTCACTGGGGCTGCCTGGCTATTGTCGAGCCAGTTGAGATGATTCATGGGTCTGACAGATGTCTGGTACAGCTGGATGTGTCCTTGATTATCCCAAAAGTCTGGACAGTACTGTCATTCACCATTGCCCAAATTATCTTTGTATTGACTGTGGAACCCTCTGTGACAGTACTGTAATGGCTAATTACCCAAGATACCTTTGGTACTCACTTGATAATGGTTTAGTGAAAAAGAAAAAGACCGTGAGGAAATGAGGGGAAAAAAAAATACCAATAAAAGTAGCATCCTGTTCTGTGCAGAGAGCATGGATTCTGCTGTGGTATGGCATATATACATACATACATACATATGTATACACACACATACACACACACACACACACATATTTGACATCATGCAGTTTATGCTAATGAAATCCAGGGCCACAATAGTAGAAGCACAGATTTCTCGTGAAACACGTAAGGAGGAGATAAAATGTAAAGGACTTTGACAGTGATAAATTACGAACAATAGAAGGAGCTATTAGCTGTGAGACAATTGTATGTATAGCATACTTGCCGCGTGGGCTGCAGAGGTTGGAGGGGAAAGAGCACGTTCTGTTTAGCAAATAGCCTCCCCAGAAACGGAGAGGAGGGAGGAGAAGAGGAGAGGCTTAGTGAGGCTGCTCCAGGGGCACGGATAGAAGGTGTGGTTTCATTTCCCTCTGTAATGCCATAAATTAGCACACTTTGACAAACATAGCTCCCTCAAAGCAGATATATATCAGGAGGGGGAAAGATAAGGGAATAGAAGGCACAAAATCCCATTTTGACTTTTAGTGGAGATGATGAGGTCCCGGGAGGGCAGACAAAGCCAGCCGGGAACAGCTTTTCACACAAAGAATACAGTAATTTGCCACATCCTGTCCAGGCTGTGTTTGAATGTCACTCCCGTCTTAATTACCAGACTAACAAAGCTATTCTGTTCTGGAATCTCTCCCTCAGTTCTTAGATCGCAAGAGGGGAATCTGATGAAAAGTTGCTCACCGGTCTTTATGAAGCAAGGAGGCGAGGGTGGTGGCCTTGTCGGGGAGAGGAGGGTGACGGGTGAAGGCCTGAAGACCTGATGCTCTCTTGTTCTTGATGGACATGGGTGCCTGTCTGAGTTTTGTAGCAAGTAGCCTAGTGGGACAGGAGCTCCAGCTTGTGACAAAGTCAGAGACATGATGCGTCAGCTCTGTGCCCATCCGGTTTGAAAACGGAAGATCGTCCCCTTTCTTGGACTCTATGCCTGTGTAGTAGTCTCAGGCCTAGTGACCCACAGAGCACAGGGCCCGGGCATTGTGACCGCACCACCGTGGGTATTGCATTCTGACTTATTAAATGGTTTGTTTAACTGAAGGAAAAGAAGAAATGGCTTGTCATTGCAGTCCATTGTTACAGGACTGTCTCAAGTGTTTCATTCCCTCCTCCTCGAGCTCTCTCATAGAATTCTTGATGGTTCCAGAGGCATTATTCTGCCCACTGATTCTCAGTAAGGACCCTAGTGACAGTTCAGAAGAAAGGTTCAAGGATTTGGGCTAAATGTCCCCTGAGCCCTGTGCGGATATATCTTCCCCCACCGCTGGTGACCTTCCCATACAGGCAAGTCAGTCTGTGTCTATCCTGCCATCTGTGTGTATCATGCCAAAATTTCCCCATGGAAACGACTTGGAGTGAAACACCTTAGTTCCTCCAGAACTCTGGTTAGTTGGGGGTTATTTTGTACTTTAGAAAAAGAATCCTGCCATGTTTCTAAAACATTCAGGTGATATGTTTGGGTCTCTATCACATCTGGCTGTGATCCAATGTCATAATACAGAGGAAGGGAGAAATGATCTAGGATCTACAGACCCAGATATGTACAGGTACCAGGCAGTAATGGAATAAAGTGGTGGGCATATTGGCAAGCTGGAGCGAGTGAACAAGAAGGAGAGTAGCCACCACTGATTGTCACCGTGTACAAATGAGACCAGAGAGCCAGATCTCTTGACTTTTCAGGAAAATTTAAAAATCCAAAGTTTTAAGGATTGTGAGTCCCTAAGGTCTTACAAGCTTCAAGCCTGGGTATGTTTGCTGAGTGTAGGGAGGGAGCTGGGTTGGAGAGCAAAGGCAATCATGTACACTATGGACTTGATGTTTCTGGTTTTCAATAACTAGCAAGAATCACCCATTCAGTAGATGCTGTTTGATGTCAATCTTGTGTTTATCTGTCTATAGCTGTTTACCTACATTTTTTTTCCCTCAGTCCCATATCATCTAACAACTGAATTAGCAGGATGAAGAACCTTTCCATGTAGCTATTTATAGGTCTCAGACCTGTCTTCTTTCTCTTTCTTCCACCTGGAGGGCTCAGCCTAGAGTTTGAAGCTTGGAGAAGACTCTCACCAGGCCGCTGACTCCTTTGCTGTATTTTCACAGTTGCAGATATACAATCACTATTATCTGTCTCCCCGGCAAACTCTAAGCTCCACAAGGCAGGGAACTTGCTCTGCACTGTCAGGACCTTCGCCAGTGTGTGCATTTGGTGAGTGTTAATTTGCAGAAATAGAGAGGTTTGAATGGGTCGTGTAAAAAGGATTCATGTGCCCAGAGATGAAGCTTGTCCAAAGCCTCTCTGAAGAGCTGAAAAGAGAGCTGTGTGTACTGTCAATTAGACATGTTTCCTAAGGGGTCTTCTGAAATTTCTCCACTGAGGTGGGCACTCCATAATGTTTAATTTTTTTGGAGTTCTTGATTTTCACTTTTTTTTTTTTCCTGAAATAAGGAGAGAATTGAAGTTTCCTTAAAAATTCCCACTTAGAACAAATGCTCTCCCCTCTTCGACAGATAAAAGGAACGAGGGCTACAACTTGCAATGCATTACGACGATGACCACAAATGACAGCCCCTCCTTGAGCACTCTTGGACGGTCACCTGGGCATGGCTTGCCCATCTGGCTCATTTTGGCTACCACACAAGCAACAACTACATGGGACCCGGTAAGGATTAGGATGTGTTTTGTTTTGTTGATGTTCTTGGAAACCCTGGAGCTACCATGCTGTGCCCAGGCCTAGGTTAGTTACCCTCATTACACCAGCCAATAGCCAACATCTGCAGATGAACATGGGGACGAGATCAGCCCAGGCTAAGCAGGCCCAGGTGACCTGCCATCTGGCCGCACTTGTATGGGGGAAACCCCAGTGAGCGCAGCAAAAGGTCTGCCCAGTTGAGTCAGATCTCCTCTGCTGGGCCCTAGAATTGGGAACTAAGTTTTAGGTGGCTTTTTATGTCGTGAACTAACAGCTACATTTTTTTTTTTTCCTTCAGGGCTCTGGTCCTTTTACAATAAGGCCAGATCAGAAAATACCTGAATATGGAGCCTCCCCCTTCTCTAACTTGCCCTTGTGTTATTATTATTAAGTCCAGTACAGCAGAAGCCTTTCAGCATTGGAGAGTACTATGTGAACTAGAGAAGTTACTAGAAAAAAAAAAAAAAAGAAAGAAAGAAAGAAAGAAAAGAAAGTCACCGGAAGGATCAGAATTCTACCCCATCCCCCTCCAGCTCCTCTCCAGCTCTCACTGATACACCTGGCTGCAGATGTGATAGGGAGAAAAGAGGAGGCAGACTTTTAGAAGAGAGAGATCAAGGAATCAGTGGGAGAACCCACTGTATTGACATTACATCACACCGCCCTCATTATAATACCACATCCAGCCCAGCTTTCAAACCCCTGAAAGCTACAAAAGGAAGCCAAGCAATATTGGGACCACCCAGTGTATCATTTTAATGTAGAGAAAACATGTACGTTAGATATGTAAACTCGCTTCTCTGTAAGGCCCTTAAGCCTTTCTTCGCATTTTTAGCAAAATGCACTGAGGGTAAACATTTGTTATTCTCTAAAGATCTGCTCTCAAATTTTTAGTATGCGTTTGTGCTGAATCTCGATATAGTAATTGAAAAAAAGCAAAAACCACACAAAATGTGGAACACTGTTATAGAGCTAAGGTAGAACAGGCTAGGTGTTGGTTGACAGTGTTCCGTTTGCCAGGCTGTTGTCTTATTTAGTCTTTGCTACTGCCCCCAGGAAACAGAGGCTCTGAGATGTAACTTGGCCAAGGACACACAGTCATTAGTTAGGTTGTATGTTACGGACAGAGACTTCAAATCTTAATCCACTGGCTGTGTTGTCTCAGCAAAACCGAGGCACTTTTATCATCAGTAATAATAATTTATACTGAGCCCTCATTATATAATATGCATTTTTTTATTTAAAAATAATAGCTGACAGTTCTTGAGGATATTCGTGCTACAGTGTTTTAGGTACGCTCTATATAATAAGTAATTGAATCTTCGGGAAACCCATGAGGCAAGTATATTAATTATCCTCACCTTCAAAATGCCTTTAGACAAGAAGTTATTCTTGTTCTGGAGACTGGAAGTGTAAGGCCAGAGTGCCAGCAAAGCCCTCTTCTCTTTCACACTTGGGGGGAGACTCCTTCTTTGCGTCTCCCTGGCTCCTGGCGCATGTTCCATGGCTGTCTGACTCCAATGTCTGCTGTGATTGTCATACCTCTGGTGTGTCCCCCTTTCCCTCTGCAGGATACCAAGCATGTTGGATGTAGGACCAAACTCTAAGCTATCACAACCTTACCTTGAGCACCTCTGCAAAAGCTCTATTTCCTACTAAGGCCTCATTCATGGAAACCAAGTAGACAGGTATTTTGGGAGTTGGGGGAACTGTTTAATATGGAACAGATGACAAAATTTTGTAGTATATTGTTCCTAATGAGGCCAAACATAAGAGAAGGCAAGGCAGAACATGCCTGACTAATGCTAAGAAGAGGCCCACAGTCCTGTGAAACAGAGCCTCAGACTCCTTACCACATAGGCTTGATTTTTAAGCTCAGCCTGATAGTGATGCATGGGAGAGCCCATCACCAATCTGGATGCAGGGCGTGGAGAAAGCCCAGAAGCTAGAACCAGGAAGCGGTCAGTGGTCAGGAGGTGATACTGGCCAAGAAAAAAACAGAAAATTTCTCAGTGTAGAAAGTCTGAGTGGACACACGGTTGTCAAAAGGGCATCAACCTTAGTACGAAGGGAGGCTGTAAAGAGTGTGCTTTCTACTGGATGTTGGTAGAGACTTCACAAGAAGAGAGGATGTCCTTGACTGTGACGAAGGCCTTTTCTCTCACCTCAGGTGTCTTTAACTGAGGACTCAAGAGTGCCGGACGCTCCCTGGACATGGAACTTCCAGAGTCAGCGGCCTCTGGGTTCTTTTTAAAAGACTTGTTTTAGGTACGTACGTTGTTTGTGTGTGGGTGTGTGCATGTGAGGGCAGAGGTGTTGGATCCCTGTGTCTTAGCTGGCTTCCTGTTGCTGTGTTAAAGTCCATGACCGAAAGCAACTTGAGGAGGAGTGGGGTTGTTGTTGGTTTGTTTCTTCAGCTTAGAGTTCCACAACACAGGAACTCAAGCAAGGGAGGAACCTGGAGGCAGGAACTGAAGCAGAGGCCATGGAGGAGTATGCTGCTTCCTGGGTTGCTCCCTATGGCTTACTCAGCCTGCTTTCCTATACACCCAAGACCTCCTGACCATCAGTGGCCCCATACACAGTGGCCCCGTCCCTCCCTCATCAGCTGTTAATCAAGAAAATGCCCCCATGGACTTGCCCACAGGCCAGTCTGCTAAAGGCGTTTTCCCAGTAAAGTTCTGTCTCCCCAGATGACCTTGGCTTATGCAAACTGACAAAAAACTAGCCAGGCGCTAGAGTTACAGGTGACTGGGAGTTACCAGACATGGATGCTGGGAATCAAACTCTGGTGCTCTGTAAGAGCTGTCTGTGCTCTTAACCACTGAGACTTCTCTTCAGCTCCACCCTCTGGGTTCCTGTGGGGGAGCTGCTGAAGGGGTGTAGTGGCAGCGGTGGCTGGCCACGGCTATGGCAGCGGCCGGGGCGAGGGAAGAGAGCGCTGGATGCTGCGGTGGCGGAAGAATCACAAGCCATGGTTACCTTTTTAGGGCTTTATTAGGAGGAAGGGGAGAGGAGGGGGGAGAGAGACAGAGAGAGACAGAGAGAGACAGAGAGAGACAGAGAGAGACAGAGAAACAGAGAGAAACAGAGAGACCTCATGGAAGAGAGAACAGCGAGAGAGAGCATGCATGGGAGGGCACACCCACTTTTTAGGCTAGGACGCCACCATCGCAGGCTGATGACGTAATAAGGACAGAATCCTTACACCTGCCCCCACCTTTTCCCCCAGGGTACTCTTGAGGAGTGAGGGATAAGAGATTTAGATGGAAATATTGAGGGGAGAGAAACAGATAGAAACAGGATAACCTTGGGAGGGCCTGGATCCTAATCCACTGGCCCCTTCTGTCACTTCTAAAGGGCTTTATAAAGGAATGCCAAGGCATAGAGCAAAAGACCCCCCCACCCCAGCACATCCAAGTGCCCATCCTTCCAAACACCTGGTAACCACGCACGTGGTCAATGCAGCTCTGCTGGGTACAGCAAGCTCGGATCTCACTAGGAAACCTCTGTGGGCTCTACAGGTTCTAATCTAGAAAACATGAAGAAAATTCATGGGCCACAGAGGGTAAGTTTTAGAAGAAGTTTTATTATAGGTTACTCACAGGTAGAAGCTTAAGAGAAAAAAGACAGTTCCTGCATGGCAGAAGAGGGTCCCCAGGAGAGGGCACCACTGAGGTCATTGACTTGGAGTGAATAAGGCTAGTTGAGGGGTTGAGGATTTAGCTCAGTGGTAGAGTGCTTGCCTAGCAAGCAAAGGCCCTGGGTTCGGTCCTCAGCTGCGGGGTGGTGGTGGGGTGGTGGTGGTGGTGGTGGTGGTGGTGGCAGGCTTGTTGAATGGAAGCCCGGAGTACGGATGAACTGGTTGGTCCCGTTGACCCATTCACAAGGTGTCCGGGTTCAACGTGTTGTTAGTCATGTCCTCATGTAGTGTCCAAAAAGGGGTGCTCACTCAAAGAAAGAAAGAAAGAAAAGGATTCACCTTCCTTCTGGCACCCTGGCCTCTGGCGAGAGCAGAACCAAAGACATTTTGGCTTAAACACTTCTGGCATCTCCAGCCTCTGGAAGAATGAAATTGCTCAGAGGGCCAAGGAGATTCTGCTTTTTAGACAAGGAAAAGTTGTTCACTTGTGGGGACCTCTCTCCTACACCGCTCTTCCAGTTCCCTTCCACTGTTCTCGTCAGAGGTGTGCGACACTAGACAAGGGTTGGCGTAGTGCCCACCCGCGTGGAGATGTACAAAAAGAGGCAAGGCAGGTGCAATCAGTCAAGGGGTAAAGACAAGAAAAGATATGAGTTTGCAAAAATGCAAGGTTCCTTCCCCAAGAGAAAGGGCTGGGTTACCTGGGTGTATTTCCCAGTGTCTTTCCACTCCAACACCAGATACTAACTCTATCAGAAGATGCTACTGTGCCTGGGAAGCCAAAGAGGCTTGTGAAGTAGTCCAATAGGGAATTGTTTTAAGTAGAGAGAAGGTCTTGGGCATCGCTGTCACCCTGTGTGGACGGTAGGGCAGAGTGCTATGGCCCAGAAAGAAGGATGGCCTCCTCTTTGCTGAGGGTGGACAGAGTAGATTTTGAGGGCCTATGATCTTCGTAGATCTCTCTGGACCACCTCTAGGAGACACCAGAAGTGGTAGAACAGGAATCAGGAGGCAGGCAACTGTGGAGTCTTCATGGTTTACCTAACACTGTTTACATTCCCACTGAAAATAGCATTAAAATATTTGTCCAACACCACCACTGTGGTCACTGTAGGCTCTGTGCTAACAAATAGTCTGCTCTCTTTGATAGGTGTGTGTGTGTGTGTGTGTGTGTGTGTGTGTGTGTGTGTGTATGAGTGTGTGTATGTGTGTATGAGTGTATGTGCGTATGTTATGTGTGTATGTGTGTATGTATGTGCATGAGTGTGTGTACGAGTGTGTGTGTGTGTATGTTGTATGTGTATGTGTTTTTCCCAGATGAACCTGTGCTGGCATCTTGGTGACACCCCTCCCCCCATCACCTCCTTTTTAAATCTGAATTCAGAAATGTTCATCCTAATCCCAACTTTGTTTACTTAGCAACAAACTCCCTATTCATCTGGGGCCTAAAGTTTCATTATGATTTTAATTTAAGAACTTAAATTGGGTACTTGGCAGAAGTAGGGTGAAATATGCATTCCACAGTGGCGGGGAGGGAATGCCTGCTAACACTTTAAATCTTGACAAATGTATGGTTTTTATACTCCTCTGAGCTCAATTGTACTCGGCTCTATAACATAGGATTAAAAAGCAAAGTGTTATTTTAAAGGGTGGTTTCTTTTTTCTTTTTGATATTCTTGTGCATGGGCTGGGGGTGGGGTGATGCACACAGGCCATGAGACAATCCCCTAGGCATGTTTGGTGATGTTGTTAATGCAGAGTTTAACATACTAACAGGGCTCCTTATTTAATGGGTCTGAAGCTCCCTCCGGATGGCTACAATGCCAATTATTAAAAGTCGCAGAGGTATTATAAACTTCTCTGGGTGGTATTTTTTTTCTCCAATAATGTAAATGCTCTTTCCAGTTCTTGCAACATCATTTAAAAATGGATTTTGATTACTGCTTGGCTTGTAAAAAAAATAGGATCATAAATGTTCTCATTTCCCAGAATGAAGCAGGGGACAGGGAGCGAGAAGAGCAAAGGAATATGTCACATTTTTCAGTAATCAGTCACAAAAGACCTTTAAATAACTCAACTTCCTACCATATTTTATTATCTTCTCTCCTTTTACAGCATTATCTACTGTAGATATGCAGGGAGATTTGTAAAACACTATAGCATTTAAGTCATTACATTTTATAGCTAATTTCTAATGTGGATTTGATTTTTTATGAGCAGAAAAAGAATCTAATTTGCATTAGTGACAGTAGCTAGAGAAATTTAACACCTGGCCCGGCTTGTACCAGAAATTGAATATTAGGTACTTGGGTGCTAAAAACACTTTCAGTTCTTCAAGGGGAATTTTTCATTTATTTATGTGCTTCTCTCCTGTTTACCATTACAAAACTGTTCATATTATGATGGAAGAAAACACCCTGCCTGCAAACCTCCTGGATCTGCATTTTTCATCCTCTGTGAGAAAAAAGGAACCATTGCCCATTATCCACAAAAAAAAAAAAAAAAAAAAAAAAAAAGAAAAAAAAAAAAAAAAAAAAAAAAAAAACCAAACAAACCCCAGCACCAATCCATAGTCTAAAATACATCCCAGCTGCCTGTGACAGAGGAGGGCTTGCTTGAATCCTCTCCCCTCCCCCAAGCTCCTTTTTATTTTCTCTCCCCCACCCCTCACGGCTCCCAAGCCCCTTTACGCCATTTCCCTGATAGAAGCTTGGGTGCAGTGTTTCCAAGCAAAATTAAAGCTCGGCTAAGAAGAACACATTGTTGTTACAAGAGCAATCCATATGTTTATAAAGTGTAGAAAATTAGGACCTGCAAAAGAGTCGAAGCTGGTGTTAAACGATATGGGAAGTGACACTTTACATAGCCCGGTACAATTAACACATTGATGGCGCTTTGCTGGCTCCTTGCAGTGATAATGCTGTTGTCAAGTGTGTTTAGTGCATCAAATCTCCTGGAGCCTTCAGCCAGGCAGCGAGCTTTTGACAGATTGAAGGTTCCGAGATAGGCTATTATGACAGATG